GTCATGACTTTGGGCATATTCATTCAGCAAACATTGGCTCGTACTTTGTGCCTGGCCCTGTGCTGGGAGCTGGGAATACAGACATGAATAAAGCATGGTCCTGGCTCTCACAGATCTATGTCTATAGCTCAGTGTTTCTCAGACTTTTAAAGCTCATACACTATTTAGATGGAAAAAAAAAATCTTATGTTTTTCTTTAATGCTACTTGAAATTTTAAAATGCATTAAAGAGTCTGACAAAAAACAAGTCAGAAATTATGTCAAATATGATTTTTAATCACATGTGCACATACACATAGCTATACCTGCTACCTTTCATCCTTCCCACCTTCTCCCTGAAAATTTCTGGTAAAAGGAGAAATATAACTAAAATCTTACAATATAATGAGATAAAAGTTATGAAATCAGGATCAACTATGTTACTGGGTCACACTTAAGCAATTAACTTTATGATGGGGTGTCAGAGAAAGCTCCCAAAAGGGCGAGATTTGAGCTGGATTTTGAAGAAGGAGCAATAAGGTGTCTGGTGAAAATTCCAAAAGATGAGGAGGAGCATTTGCCAAGGCCCAGATCTGTAAAAGGAAACACTGCACGTGGGGAGCTGAGCAGTAGCTGGTTGACACCTTGCCCTCTGCCCGTTCCTCCGCTCGGTGAGATGGGAGGGCAGCTGGGAGGGCGTGCTCTTCTGGAGTTGTGTGTGAGGAGAGGCGTTGAGCTCCTTGTGCTGCAGTTGTTTTAATCCAAGGTACCCCTTCCTGTTTCTGCTTTTTGTAGCCAGGGCTGCAGTTTGTTTTTCTTGTTTAAATATATATTATTATGAAAACAAATTTGGATGATTTGGACAAACTTAATTATTGCATGTGGTTGAGTTACTTTTAAACTCACATCTTACCTCAAAAGAAAAACTGAAGTTGATATGCATTGTTAGCCTTATGGCTCTTGGGGGTATCAGTCCAGTGGGGAAATGTGGGCCCTCAAACATGGGGGTGGAGAACAGGGCCCCAGAGAGTGAGTGCCTCTGAGCCTTAGTTTTCTCATACGTAAAATGGGAATACTGTTACCCATTTTGCTTGATAGTTGGGAGGATTAAATGAGGTGAAATATGTAAATCACTAATATAGTGCCTGGCTTATAGAAGATTTTCAGAAAATGGTGTTTCCCATTTTCTGAATTATTAATGATAGCTCCCTTTTACTGAACATTATTATTGTGCAAAGCACTTTATGTACATCGTGTGATTGAATTGAACCCCTAAGAGATGTGTATTATTATAGCTATTATTACAAAGAATATGTGATGGAGTCAGGATTTGACCTAGGCTTGGCTAATACCAGCGTGTTAACAACTAGCTATATGACTCTTTGTTTCTATACCAGTTCTCCATCTTGGAAGCAGGGCTTTAGGAGGTTCTGGGTGCCTCTCCTCCAGGGTCAGATGCTATCTAAGAGCATGGGAGGTGCTTAAAGGGTGAGAGTGCCATATCCTGCTCTCCCTCCATTTCTATCCTACTTACGGTGAGTTAGAAAACAAGCCTTTGCCCGTTCTCGTATATGATGGGGTCAAACAGATTTGCAGGACTTTGCAA